CCTTGCTGGGAGTAACAATTCTGTGTCCCAAACCGGAGTAAAATTTTTTTTTAAAATTTTGTGTCCAACTTTTTTCCCAGTAACAAATTTGTGTCCCCGGTAACGATTCTGTGTCCCTCAGTAACCAAAATTTTGTGTCCCTGGTTTTTTTAACCAAATTCTGTGTCCCTGAGTAACAAATTTTCCTGGTTGTTTTTGTCCCTGGAGTAAACCCCAAAAAATTTGTGTCCCTGAGAGTAACAATTCTGTGTCCCCAATTTGGGGTAAACGTTTTTGTGTTCCCCCAGTAAACAACTTTCCCCGGTAAAAAACCCCGAGTAACAACTTTTTTGCCCGGTTTTTTTCCCGAGTAAACCCAGTTTTTGTGTCCCCGGGCCCTGTGTTAAACAAAATTTTTGTTTTCCCTGAGTAAAACCCGGAAAATTTTGTGTCCCCCAGTTAACCCCCATTCTGTGTCCCTGAGTAACAATTCTGTGTCCCTGAAAGGGGGAAAACCCCATTTTGTGTCCCCTTTAGTTTAACCCAAAAATTTGTGTCCCTGAGTAAACCCCTAAAACTGTGTCCCTAGTAACAATTCTTTTTTCCCTGGTAACAATTCTGTGGCTGTCCATTTAGTAACAAATTTTTTGGGAAATTTTTCCCTGGTAACAACTTTCCCCGGGGTTTTGTGTCCCTGAGTAACAAAATTTTTGTGTCCCTGGGGGGTTAACAATTCTTTTTGGTTTTTTTCCCTGAGTAAAACCAAATTCTGTGTCCCTGAGTAAAAAGATTCTGTGTCCCTCAAGGTTAACCCAATTTTTTGTGTAAACCCCCGAGGGAACAATTTTTGTGTCCCTGAGGAACAATTCTGGTCCCCGGTTTTTTCCCCGAAATAAAATTTTTTCTGTGTTTTTCCCTGGAGGGTAAAATTTCTGTGTCCCTGAGTAAAACGTTTTCCAGTACAAGGGGGCTTTTTCCCAGGTTTTTGGGCCCCGGATGGGGGGTGTGGGTGAGCAGGGGAAAAAACCCGACCTCAGATATGTTTATAAACAAAAATAATTTAATTTTTAAAATAACAATACAAAAAAAAACGGGAGTGCAAAAACTAAAAAAATTAATTTAAAATGCCCAAACCCAACCAACCAACCACCCACAGATAAAAAGTACATAAAGCAAGCGTCGTCGGGAGCCCGGGGCAATATCAATAGGGGGGGTAGGGACAGGGGGAGCAAGCGGAGATTGGTTGGGGTCCAGGCCAAAGGGTTTGAGGTAGCAAGCCGGTAGTACAGAGGGTCAGGGGAGAGGGATGGTCAGGGGCACAAAGGGCCCGGGATCAGAAAAGGTAGCAAGCAAACGGTTTGGTTTCAGAGGGGGCAGGGGAGGGGGGTTTGGTTGGGGGCGAGCCGGGGTAGGAAACAGGAGAAGTCCGCAGCGGGTTTAGAAAACAGGATTTAGGACGAAAAAGGATACAGGGCCCAGGGCAAACAAAAACCCAAAGGCCCAGTCTGTGGGGTCTGGGGCCCTCCCCCTTTTTTTCCCCCGCATAATCAGTTCCGGTGTTGCTGGCTGCAAAGTTGGGTTCTGATTGCTGGGGCATCCGCTGGCCAGCCCCGGGGACTGCAGATCAAAGGCAGGTGAGTCCCACCATTGGGTGGCCCGTCCATTCCTGCAGTACCCCCCCCAAAGGAAACGGCCCTTCCGGAGCTCCAAACGTCTAGCTGGGAAAAATTTTTCCCGCCCGGGTTTTGGTAACTGGCGGGAATTTTAAAGGGCTGGCCCCACCCGGGGAGGACTCCCGGGGGCGGTTTCAAAGGGGGGAGAGGCACATCGGGTGGATCCGGGGAGAGGGACACCCGGGGAGAGGCCATCAGGGTGGACTCCGGGCCCGAGGCACACCGGGCGGGGCCCGGGGGAGAGGCCACCGGGCAAAAGGCCAACGGGCTGGATCGGGCAGGGCATCGGGTGGACCCCGGGGAGAGGGACATCGGGCTGGACTCCCGGGGAGAGGCACATTTGGGCCCGGACTCCGGGGGAGAGGCACATCGGGTGGATTTCCGGGAGAGGCCCCATTTGGGTGGATCGGGCAGAGGCACCAGGGGCTGGGGGGGCCCGGGCGAGGCACAACCCCGGGGAGAGGCCCCATCGGGGTGGAACTCCGGGCAGAGGCACATCGGGTGGACTCCCGGGGGGAGAGGCAATCGGGGCTGGACTCCGGGCGGGAAATCGGGGGGTGGATCCCGGGGGAGGGACATCGGGCTGGACTCCCGGGGAGAGGACACCGGGCCCGAGGCACATGGGCTTTTGGGTCCCGGGCGGGCCAAACAGGTGGATTCCGGGCGAGGCAATCAGGAAAGGGTCCGGGCCCGAGGCACATCGGGGAGGACTGGGCAAAAAGGGACATGGGCCAGGTCCCGGGGAGAGGAAAATCGGGGTTCCCGGGAAAGCGCAGGCAGCGGGCCACCAGGGGAGGGGGCGGGGGGCACCGGGGGGGCCCCCGGGGGGAGGGAGGGGACCGGGGGCCCCCCCGGGGGGGCGCAAGGCACCCCGGCCCCCGGGCGGGGCCGGGAGGCAAACCCGGGGCCCCCCGGGGGGGGCAAAGGCTCGGGCCCCCGGCGGGGGGGCAGGTCTGGGCCCTAGGTGGGAGCGGGGGGGGCCGGCCCCCCGTTGGAAACGACAGGTCTCGGGGGGCCCCCAGGGAGAGCAACCGGTTCGGGCCCCAGGCGGGAAACGGCGGGCACCGAGTCACCAGGCCGACCCGTGGGCAAAAGCGTTGTTGGCAAGACTGGGCACCCAGTCAATGGCGGAAAAAGCGGGCTCGAATCAAAATGGTGGAACTTGCGGGCACCGAGTTGGGTTGGGGAAGACTGCGGGGACGAGGGCATTGGGGAAGACTGCGGGGGGACCCAGGGGTCTGGGAAGACTGCGGGCACCCAAATGTTGGCAAGGGCTGCGGGCACCAAATCGTCTTTGGGAAGGTTGGGGCAACCGAGTCAACTGGCGGAACAGAGGGCATCGATTCAACTCGGCTCGGAACAAGCTGGGCTAGTAGTCAACTGGAAGACTGCGGGCACCGAGTCGTCTGGCATGTCTTAGCGGGCACCGAGTGTCTGGCAAGACTGCGGGCACCGAGTCAGTCGTCTGGGCAAGGACTTGACGGGCACCGAGTCGTCTGGCAAGAATGCGGGCACCGAGTCGTTGGCAAGACTGCGGGCCACCCGAGTCGTCTGGGCCTAGACTGAGGGCACCGAGTGTAGTCTGGGAATGACTGCGGGGCACCGAGTCGTCTGGCAAGACTGCGCGAGAGTAGACTGCCGGAACAGCGGGCACAGAGTCGTCTGGCAATACTCGTGGGCTCTGAGTCAAACAGGCACGACTAGTTGGGAACCGGGTCAATCAGGTATCGGATTGTCTGGATACGACTGCGCGGGCTTCGGGTTCACCAGGTTTCGACAGCGGACACAAGGCGTCACCCAGCTTCAGGTCATTTTGCTTGACAGCGGGCACCGCTCTTCTTGGCAAGGCTGGTGGGCACCGGAGTACCCAGGTATGTTAGCTGATCGGGCTCTGAGTCAATTGGCTTGGAAAGCGGGCACTGGATTCAGGTATAGGCATCATCTGGATCAACAGCGGGCATCGAGTCACACTGGCCTAATAGAGATCGTCGGGCTGGATCAGTTCATCATGCTGAGTAGCGGCATCAGGATTAATGCAGGCATCAGGCTGTGTAGAGGCTTCAGGGATGAGTAGAGGCTTCAGGATTGAGTAGAGGCTTACAGGCTGATGAAGAAGGCATCAGGCTGAAGAGAGGCATCAGGCTGAAGAGAGGCATCAGGGCTGAGAGAGGGCATCAGGCTGAAGAGAGGCATCATGGCTGAAGAGAGGCAATCAGGCTGAAGAGAGACATCAGGCTGAAGAGAGGCATCCGGCTGAAGAGAGGCATCAGGCTGAAGAGAGGCTTCAGGCTGAAGATGAGGCATCAGGCTGAAGATAGGCTTCAGGCTGAGTAGAGGCTTCAGGCTGAGTAGAGGCTTCAGGCTGAGTCACGGAAGGCAGGTTCACCGGTTTGGATACTGGACAGGGGAATGGTATTGGCTTGGAACGAATTTTCGCTTTTTTTGGTTTTTAACTACTGGAGCACTGCAAGTAAACGCAGGTCTGCAAACGAATGGAGCAGCTAGGAGACAGAGAAAAACTGGAGGATGGAACAGGAGAGGGAGCAGTTGCTACAGAGGGCTTTTTTACTGGGTTAAAGGCAGGATAGGTGCAGCGGAGTGGGAACAGGGTACTGACATGCGGTAGATAGCCAAGTATACTGGGCTGTAACTGGAGGAGCTGTTGGGAATACAGGAGTTGAGTTAGAAGCAGGACTGGGTTTTGTAAGCTGACTGAGGCTGGGTGCAACAAGTCTGTCCATGTCTGCAGTATGGTGTTGAAACAAAGCTGAGCTTACACAAAGCCTGTCTGGTCAATGACTGCACTGTGTTTATACAATCTCTTAGTGTCTGTGGTGAACATGTGGAATAACGCTCCAGAAAGTAACCCACATCATCCTCTAATAACCACACCAGGGACTCTACCTGGGTCTGCACTAAATGGTGGCAAAAATTCATCCCTGCATTCGGGGGAACCAGATGCAAAACAACTCAGCACAAACCTCAATCAAAGGCTGCACCTCAGAGAACTCTGTGCCCTGATCTACTAGAACATGAGCGAAGCCGTATACATTTCTAAGTAGTTGATCCCTGGGATACTCCTTCAGAGTTTGATAAGCATACTCCTGTCATCAAACACTAGCAGAGATAAATACACAACCTCATCCAGATCCATCCTTCCCAGCAACAAGCCAGAATGGCTTCCCTGTGCAGCCACTTCTGGTCAAGGATTGGCCTTGGTGTAATGTCAGGGCTCCTCGGGTGTGACCAGAGGTGTGTGGCTGACGCAGGGAAACGCAGACCTCAGATATGTTATAAAACAATATAATTTATTAACACTAACAATACAAACATAAACGCAGTGCAATACTAAAACATATTTATACAGTGCAACCAAACCAAACCAACCACCACAGATAAAAACAGTACATACAAGCAAGCGTCGTCAGGCAGGCCGGGTCAATATCAATAGGGCAGGTAGGTACAGGGGAGCAAGCGGAGATTGGTCGGGGTCACAGGCCAGGTTCAGCAGGTAGCAAGCAGCGTAGTCAGAGGGTCAGGCAGAAGGGATGGTCAGGGTCACAAGCCAGGGATCAGAACAGGTAGCAAGCAGCGTGGTACAGAGGGTCAGGCGAGGGATGGTCAGGAGCGAGCCGGGATCAGAGCAGGAGAAGTCAGCAGCAGCGTTCAGAAACAGGATGCAGGACAGAAACAGGATACAGGGCCCAGGACAAACACAACACCAAGGCCGAGTCTGCTGGGTCTGGCCATCCCTTAAATTACCCCAGCATAATCAGGTTCCAGGTGTTAGTCCTGGCTGCAAAGTTGAGTCTCTGATTGCTGGGAGCATCCGCTAGCCAGCCTGGTACTGCAGATCAAAAAGGCAGGTGAGTCCCACCATTGCTGGGGCCAGTCCATTCCTGACAGATTCTGTGTCCCTGAGTAACAATTCTGTGTCCCTGAGTAACGATTCTGTGTCCCTCAGTAACAATTCTGTGTCCCTGAGTAACAATTCTGTGTCTGTCCCTGAGTAAACGATTCTGTGTCCCTGAGTAACAATTCTGTGTCCCTGAGTAACAATTCTGTGTCCCTGAGTAACGATTCTGTGTCCCTAAGTAACGATTCTGTGTCCCTAAGTAACGATTCTGTGGCCCTAAAGTCTTCCTGTGGCCCTAACTCTGTCCCTAATACACAGAGGTCTGTCTCTCTTGAATGACCGGAGGCTAATGGAGAATTGTAAGATGGCCACAATTTATAGCTCCACCATTACACAGTGCTGGCTGGCTGGCTGCTGATTGGCTAATGCGATCACATGTCATGAATGAATGCATTATGGGTCAGCGCGCCTTGTCTGCGCGCCTTCCCAGAGATCCCCGCTCCGTCATGCCACACATGTCGCCGCCTATTTTTTGGGAAAATTTGATTCGTGCATCCGAAGTTTGCTAATTTTCGGATTCGGCGCGAATCGAATTTTTCCTGATCTTTGAAACGAATTCCACTTCGCCCATGTTCGATTCGCTCATCTCTAATTGGTGCCATAGCTTGTAGACTTTAGAACGTACAAAAACACCCCACCTTCACACAGACTAAATAATATACACCGATTTGTTTTTTTTTACCAAAGGTATAAATAGCAGTATAAATTTTTGCCTAAATTTATGAAGAAAAATTACTTATTTGCAAAATATTTTATAATAAAAACAAAGAAAATCGTATTTTTTTTCTAAATTTTCAGGGTTTTTTCGTTTATAGTGCAAAAAATAAAGAACTCAGGGGTGATTAATTACCACCAAAAGAAAGCTCTATTTGTGGGAATAAAAAAAATGATAAAAATTTCATATGGGTACAATGTTGCATGACCGTGCAATTGTCATTCAAAGTGCGACAGCACTAAAAGCTGAAAATTGGTCTGGGCAGGAAGCTGTAAAAATTGCACGGTATTGAATTGGTTAAGTGCTTTGGGGTTTAATTTTTGTTTTTTACTTAGATAAAACATTAATATAAGTATAGCTATTGTTTTATTGACTTGAATACAATTCACCTTTACTCATGACAGTCTCCGTTTTTTTTTATATGGCTGTAGAAGTAAAGCCTGCTTTACATTATACTGTAACTGCTGACATGTGGTACAGGTGACAGATTATTGATAGCAAATCCTAACCTGAGTGATAGTTTATAGTGTATGTGCATAATGTACACATATCATATGGTAGATAATATGCTCCAAAATAATTTATAAACTCTTCAATGTTGTTGTTTTTTAAATAGGTATAACAAAATTCCTGTAATGTATGCAGTCTACGATTCTGCTGCTTCTTGTTTCCAGTCAAGTGATACTCAATTCAGTCACTTATTCTAAGTTGACAGCATAAAATTTTGTTTCCATTGGGATTCTGTTTCCTTTAGGATTCTAACAAACCCATGCTAACCTAGTATGAGGTAGGAACAACTCCCAAAGAGAGTCACAGATAGTAAAAAACTAACAGGAGTACTAATCCTACCAACACAATTCAAAACTAGGTCTGTTTTTGGTGGTTCAGTAAGTGCCCCACTAACTATATACTAAAATACCATGGTGGATGGTTGTCATGTTAACAAGAAGTAATTGTTCTTTTAACTATACTATGCTCTTTTTTGAGCTTATGATGCACCTGAAAAATCATACCCCATGTCATTTTTGTATAATGACTTAAGGTTTATTAGTCCGTTTACTTGCCAACCTCTGATCAGAGAGTCTAGACGAAGGAAAACCCTAAGATTGCTCTGAAACATAAAAGTCAGTTGGTATATGGATCATTCAAAGATGATCGGGTCATCCCCTTGAAAGCTGTGGTTAGTCCCAGAAATGCACTTTGGGTAGTTGCCCTGTATGCCAAACAGCAAATCAATTATCTGTAGGTGAACCGATCCACCAATCTCATTGGCTGTGATTGAGTTAGCCATCAATTTATCATAATACCTTGTTGAACTGTGTAGGGAACATGCTTTGCTTTAGATTGTGAAACCACGGTTGGGATAAAGCTTTTTAAAAAGACTTCCTTATGTAGCATCATATCCCAAAGGCAGTTGTGCCTGCTATACCTCCTTGTTTAACAGCATAAAAAATGTACTGTACATATACATTTTTATCAGATTAGGGAGTTTTATCAACTTTAAATATAGTCACAGAATCTGCAAATTAAAGTGGCATTAAAGCTTAAGTTTTTTTTTAAATATAACCATCATACTTACTTACTCTGCGCAATGGTTTTGAATAGTACAGTCCCAAGTGGGCTCTTCCCCCCACTTTAATTGCCCACCATGAAATAAGACACTTCTTATGGTGGTCACTCATTTGCAGGCTCACTCCTGAGGCAGATGCTGCTTGGCTTATATACAAACACAAGGCCTGCCCAGCCCCTGCTCATATGCTCACATGTTTTGTTAATGTACTGCAGCCAGCAGACAATGGTGGTAGGGTCCACTGCCTGCCAAGCTACACAGACCTCTGTGAAGGAACGTGCACAGCACTGGACCACTGTACCAATAGATCGGACTCTGGTGGGTATTTTGGAAGGTGTTACAGGGGGAGCTGCTCTTATTAGGTGTTTTTTATCTACCTTACTTGCATGAGAATGCATTGAAGGCGTCGAGGAAAACTTTTACCGTTACTCAAAACCAACTATCAAGTTTATTTACATAATCAATGTGGTAATCAAGATGACCAGGCGATGCTGAGTGTGAAGAATTTTTTAATTAATAATACACAAATGTTGATATAATATTTACTCATTGTAAAAAGGATCTCAGCAATTTAAAATCAATAAGTAAGTAAAATACGAAAAGTAACTACAAATGTACAGGATGTTTAATATTTTTCTGTCCTTTAAGCACTATTTATTTTCCTGCCTAAAACAAGAAATGATAGGTTGTATCCATATGCAAAACTATAACAGAAAATAAATAAATGCTAGCTTCTCAATACAAGAGCTTACATGAGATTAGATAATAAAACATTAGCTGACAGATCAATGAAGTCGAATTTTCTCATCCCCATTAAACAATTTACAATAACACAAATTATGAGTGCATGCGACAAGCACGGATAGTACAAAACGGTACAACTAACTCGCTGTACTTCTATTTAGCTGACACATATTTCCTTGGAGAGAATGTGCAAAATTGCTTTTTCAAATTATCTGTTAGAAAAAAATATATTTGAAATGTAATGTGTTACTCAATAGCATTTAAAATAATACAGGATCATCTTTTACTAATATATATAAGAATTGCTAAGCAGAACAATTGCGTACCAGGTCTCCAACAGGTGTTAACAGTATCTGGAGCTTTCATAAAGGGTCACATTAAGGAATCAAACAATTCTGCCCATACACCTTTTAACTTTTCAGCGTAGGAAATTTAATTATGTGAATATTAGTATAGTATCACTCCTCACTGCTCATAATATGATCACTATAGTCACAAACTGAGGCCCACTGCTTGTAATAATCCTACTGAGAACATCTCCTACCTGCACTGACGATTAGATCTATAGAAACGTCATCAAGTTTAAGGCTGGCCATAGACCATACTGTAGGTTCATTTTGCCAAAATGAAAAATAAAAAATTTGAAATGGTCAGTACTCACAAGGCCCCTGTCTGCAGGTCACCTTCCTCTGTGGATACCAGGACAGTGATCTGTAGGACATCCCACTATTCAAGCTTCTCAGAAGCGCCCTGGGTTCTAGCCCTATTATGGTTCACCCACACAGTATCGAGGCCATCAGGCTGCAGGTGTCAGGGGAGGCAGCCAGATGAAGAGGAAAAAGTAACCAGCATCCCATTGTGCTCGCTGATATTTAAGTACCTTAAGCAACCAGCTATGCTTTAGGGGCACCACACTCCTCTGTAATTGGCTGAAGCAGCATCCTTATACATACTGCTGAGCTTCAATTTGGTTCATACTATTCTCCACCCAGAACCTTCCTAGGTTAAAGTGAATACAGATGAACCTTCACCCAGATGCAGCAGCACTGTGAGTCACAACAGGGATGAACTAGCTAAACATTTGAGAGAGAGCCACTAAATGTGGCTTTATACATCTCTTGTTAAGCAGATGACACATATTATGATATACTCAGACTAATCTACAATCCTAACACATATCTAGGGTGGGTAACAACAGTTCGATTGACTTCTGTTGAAGTTGGGAACGGTCTTAGATGAATTGAAATTTAGTCAGTCCCTGCTTAACCAGACTAATTTCAGTCCAATTTACGGGCCAGACCAAAGATCTACAGATGTTGATACGATGATCCAGAAGTCCTACAGAATGGGACTTTAAACTCAAAGGAATCATGTTATAACCAAAAAAGAAAAACAAAAAAGCATAGACAGCAAAAACCCAAAACAAAGAAAACCAAAACAGTAAGCAAATAAATTCAGTAAGTGTGGTTTCCCCACAAAACATAACTAAAGACCATCGTTGCAACGAAGAAAAAAACACTAACATTAGATGACTGAAGAAACAAAAAAATAATATAAAATAAACAGAAACATATTCTAACAGTACCAAAACCTAAACTTAAGGGTCAGACTTCATCAAATCACTTGCAGAGAAAGATTATTCCGAACGATTTTTTTTGCTTAAAAAATCAAAAAAAAACTTTATCAACCAACCAATTACCTAAGCCTACACAGTCAGCAGACTTGCTAAAAAGTGAAAAACTAGCAAGAATAAAAAAACAAAACAAGTGTTAAAGTGTTTACTAACCGAAAAACAAGAAAACAA